TGTACTTTTGAGAGGCCTTTGTGCCTGCTGTTGTGTCCTTTGACTCCGACATATCAATATATTTAGTCGGCAGCCAATGGGAAATAAGTATTCTTGGAGATGCTCAAAAGTCGTAAGAAGTCCAGTTATTTCGAATAACGTTAATGTAACATCTTTTGATCAGCATGGCGCTTCCTGAATAGGTTTGGCAGTAATTTGGAAATTCGGCGGTCTGAAACCAAATATCCGGATATTTCCACGTCGGACACTATCTAATTATCATGAACACTATTTCGGTACCTCGATATTGTGAATAGCACAGTTTTTGCTCAAGACACGAATATGATTTTGGGGCCAAATGGTCGAAATACCTTTCAAATGTCGCATAAAAATATATCTTGTAAGATTGAGTTCGAACGGTTACACAATCCTTTAAAATGGTCAAATAAGATACAGCTCTTAAGTGTAAAAGAATGCTGCATTAAAATGAAAACTATAAGCACACATAATATTTTTAATAAAATAGAATGGTCTCGACCACTGTTAACCTGAATTTATATTCTTTGAACAGTTTTCGTTCCACCAATCACGAACAAGAATCGATTCCTCGCTCCGTCGGTGGTGCATCATATCGACGCGAATCGTGCTGTGACCCGGGAAGCTCATCGCCTGATGTCATCCCCTCCGCGCCAGATGTCCTCTCATGGAAACAACACGGACAGCTTGACACCGAAGAAGAAGAAGCAGCAGCTCACTGGAGGCAGCCATGCAAACAACCCCACGGCGAAAGGGCTCGTGCGGGAGATACAGGCTCAGTTGGCCTCTCGACAAGGATTGCTCGCCGAACAGCGTGAAATGATCCTCGCGCAACGAGCATCCAATACCAAACTATATTCGTCGATCATGGACCAACTTTCAGCGATGGACAAGCAACTGGACGCCCAACTGGCACATGTCAAGCAGCAACGGCACCAACACGACAGCTATTCCCGCAACGTGGACAAGTCACTGCGCCAAGCCAGGGCTACGGAAGCTCGCGATGCAAAGCGTCGTAAACCCGCGCCCCCGATCTCAGCCCCCCCCGCCACGTCTCCCTTAGTTTTGTCCACAGTGTCGCATGGCATGGCCGCATCCTCCCCGGCGACACCGTCGAGTTCGTCAGCAACGCCGGTCCCGCCCAAGTGGGACGTGCACAAGTGCGGCCAGTTCGGGCACCTCTCGAACCTCCACCGCACCGTGACGCTGGTAGGCGACGGGTGGAATGTGGTCGTGGCGACGCACCCCGTGGACGCCTTCTCTGTCCGGGTGTCATGGCCGGCGACTGCTTCCGGCGCCGTTGCCGTCGGCTTCACCCGCGAGCCCAACTGCTGGAAGATCCCAGTGAACAACCCGCCGCGGAGCTTTCCGTACCACAAGACGGGCTGGTTCGTGAATGTGAACCAGGGCACCGTGTCGTCCTGCAATGACGATGAATATGCAAAAGATCAGAGTAGTCGCCGATGGACGTTCCAGACGGGGGAAGTGCTGACTGCAGCCTTTGACTTTACCCGCGACGAGATTACATTTGCGAATGAAGGCAACGACCAAGGAACGATCATCCTGGACAACGTTCGCAGCAACGCGCTGTACCCTGCCGTCGTGTCATATGATACCGGTGTGCAAGTGGAATTTGTGTCCATGTAGTCATAGATGTTTGGGTTTTAATTTCATGGACAAATACAATACCCGTACTATATGTGACACGTACTGTGCAAGTCCTATGTGAAGGCAACGACCATTGAATTTGGTCGTAAACTTCGTTTGGACTTGAGAGAGTAATAGCTTTCGAATCTATTTGATCCTATTTGAGATGTATACACTAAACATTACAAAGATTAGTATATGGTATGTGGTTTTGCCCAATGCGGAGGGGTCAAACGGTTGGATAAGCCCCATATGTCAAACAGTCGCAAGCTAGAGGTTAGATTGTGAACCAGTCAAAATATTGTCAAGGGGTTCGAAATTGGAGTGGGTCAATCGAATGAGAAGCACCAAATCGGCAGACAATCGATATATTGACCAATCAATACACAGAACACTTATCAAGGTGGTGAATCAAATTCACATTCAGCACCGAATTAGTGTGTGACTTAAATTAGTGCGACATCTGGTGATTTTTACATACAAAGTCAGTGCAAAGAATCGATCGAAAGGTTTGGGGATCAGCACAAACGTCCAAATTTGGGGTAAATGGACAATATCACACCAGGAATTTCTGTTCCCGCTGTACCTACTTTGAACGAGATTCAAAAGTAACGGTATAGGTTGATGTTACTATTAATAGTAACGTAAGGGGCAGTTACAGTATTTCCAAGGTCAGTATAGGTTGACTTGCGACGAATATTAAGCAACGTGTTCGTCAGCTACATTGGAATCCTGATGGTGAAGAAGGATGTCGACAGTTCTAATAATGCTCCAAGCGAGGTTGCTACAATTATGCTTTTGAGATTGTCAACCAGTCCGTCCCCGTTTTGGCAGTCCCCCAATCCTGATTCAGGGGGGGTTCGGCCTTATGTATGGTCCAGCAAAGCGTGTGTTCAAAGGATACAGTATCAGAGACCGTTTGCATATATTTGGAAGCAGTGTACGTATGTATATCCAAATTTGAAATGTCGAGGTATTTCCAATTGTTGGCCTTGAATACATTTTCAATCAAGATCCAAAATGGCCATATCTTGAGTTCAAGTACTAGTACTGTATTGGTATTGTATATCGTGCAAGGGAATCCATTCAAACATGGCATCATGCAACATCCAAGAAGCATGTACTGTCAAGGTATTGGTAGTGAGTATACATGACGAAAACCCGAAAGAGTAGTACTGTAGTATACCCTGGTATAAACGAATAACCCATGAAAGGTAATATAATATTCACTTTGAAGGGAATTACCAGAATCGATGAAGGTTGACTGTGGTGCACTCAAATACAGGATTGACAGCTTGAATCGTTATATGAGCAAAAGATATCTATGAGAAAAAGATATCACTTGCGAGTACATGATGTTGAGGGAGGGCAATTGGCGTCGTGGGGTTTGATTTTACAGAGCAGGTCGTTCGTGGTACTCCCCAACGAATTGGCTAACTTGACCGGTAAATTACTCTAGTAATCAAGCTGCTATGAATTGGCTAACTTGACCAGTAAATCACTCTAGTAATCAAGCTGCGTATCCGGAAACCGATGTCTGATGCCGTGTCCAGCCGCCAAAGTCGGTATTTCAAGCAGTCGACGTCAAGTGTCTTAGGGTCTCATGACATTGACCCAGTTCCACTTCCAACATGCACCCAAGTTCCGTCATCATGCAGTACGTCATGGTGATACCTATCTCTATGGACTAACGCATTGGTAGTCATCTGCTTAGGACCTATGGTGGACCCAGCTCGAGTGAACGAGTGCACGCATGAGTTCTGTTTTGCTTGTATTCTGCAGTGGTCCAAGGTATCTTCGACGTGTCCTCTGTGCAAAACCCCCTTCCAAGCGCTGTGGAACGTGACTTCTCGTACCAGTGTCCCAGTCGAGCCTGCGGCAGCTTCTTGCCCATGGGATGCTCCTGCCAATTCGAGCATTGAAACGTCATTACAAGACGAGTTGACTCACGGATACGACATGGACGATGGATTTGTGGTGCCCGACGGGTTTGTCGAGTTTGAAGACATGGAACTGATGGAGTGTAAGACAGTCGAAAGTAGTAAGTGTCATCTAAGGACAGATGGACTAGTAGTGCCCAGTGCGACGGCGCATTGGACTGGCACGGCCAGACTTCGCAGTCGGCGCGAACGACGAAGGAGGGGGGAGACGGCAAGTGACGCCATCAGCATCATGCGCCCCCCACGAAGCCACCGCCGCGTCATAGTGGACGACGAAGATGAGTGCATCGATGGAGCGACTGGTGAAGGTGCTACCAGAAGCGAGAAGCTACCTCTTAATCGAAGGTCCAAGTACTTTGGAGGACAGGTGCGGCCGTAAAGGCGACCATGGACATTTGAGAAAGACTGCAACATTTGATCAAGTATTTCATGCGATTTGATTGGTCGAGCACATATCCGAACAACTGCAAACCGACTTGTTTCAAAATTTGGACAGTAGTCGCCAGTACTACTTGTACAGTAGAATCGACTAGACTTGGCATTTCGATTTGAGAATGAACTAGCCAATCAAAATCCATCATTCAGCCAATCAATACGTTTTCTAACTCCGTTGCAGATTGAACTCACATTACCATAGTGAATACAAGATATATTGCCATGTTCATTGAAAAACGGTTTCACTTTTGGACTGAACGGTCGTCCTAATTTGAGTAAGAAGAACAATACATTGTAACGTTGTAGAGGAAATGCTGCGATATATTTATGGTATACATACACTAACGAGTCCAAGAAGAGTAATGGACATGTTAATTGTGACAAACTAACTAATCCCATGGATTTGCCGATACCACGAGAAAGGGAGCCAGCTGGTTTGCATTGTCTTTACATCAACGTGTGTTGAAAGAAAGGGCGTTAAACAGGTTTTACGGAACTTTTGGTTCCAGTGCAATGTACGCGTCGACATAAAACACGTTTTAATGGATGCTTCAGGTCTCTCCACCACAATGGCAACATCGAGTGCTCCATTTTCACTCCATCGCCACGGAGCACGATGCGGAGGAGCGTCCTCGCAATACTACTGCTCACCCTGCAAGGGTATCATGCACAGCCCAACACCACCATACCCTCGGCAGTTGTCACCACTGCACCTCCCACCATCACACCGCCTCCCACGACCACACAGCCTCCCACAGGTACCCCCGTGGTAACGCCCATCCCGACCACAACTCCTGTCCCATCGACTGCGTCACCCACGCCTACTCCAACAACTGCACCTCCGTCATCGCCACCACCGAAGACTACAACTACACCTCACCCCACAACCACGAAAAAAGCTTCTGCAACAATTGCGCCTACAACAACTACCACCACACGATCTCCAGATCCTACGACGACCACCCCGCCGCCACCGTCGACTACTGTCACTACACCCTCGCCCTCGTCCGATTCGTCGACAATGACTCCCACTCCACCTCCCCCATCGATGCCAGCAACCATCGCGTCCCCCGATGTCGTAATCATTGACCCCAGCGCCGGCGACGTCGTTATCCCAGAGGTAACGCCGTCCTTTCCCGGAACTGTGGACCAGCCTCGCGCGACGACTCCATCTCATGTGTCCACTGCCTCGACCGAATCGGGAGGGTCCAACACCGTCGGATGGATCATGACCGTTGCCGCGATCATTGTCGGGATCGGCCTTCTCCTCGGAGCCGTGTGGCTCGTGCGGCGCCGTCAAGAGGAAGAAGATGACTACGACGATTTCGACGACAGTTTTTCCGAGAAAGACGCGCAGTCGCATCCGAGCACGACCGACGACGACTCGCGTCCGGCGGCGAACGTTCCGGGAGCAGTCGAAGCATCCGCCGCGCAGGTCGAAATGGACTCGATGTTCTTTACGTGGCGATCGCCGAGCCGGAAAAGCCAGATGCCGGTCGTTACGGCGCTCATGCCCGCCTGCGAAGACGAAGATGATGTGGCACCGATTGTCGCGCGGTGTCCCAGCGACGAGTTGACACTGCAGAACGAAGTACCTGACATCTTTCTCACGGGAGAGTCCAGCTCCAGCTTTGCAAGCTACCAGTACACGCAACGCGGGAACCAGAGCACCGAGAGACGGCCAGCGCCTCACTTCGATGCTCGAACCAAGGACAGTGATCATGACTTGAGTTATAGTCGCAGCCCCCGCCAGTCTCACAGTGTCATGGAGAACGATGACAACGACTCGTATGCCGGCAACTACAACAACTCGATGTCGTTCAGATCCGCCGCGTCCTCGAACGCCAGCGGGCTCTACATGCAGTCCGAGTCAGACTACTCGCCGCGCTCGGTGCAAGACAGCAGCGCATCCGACCGCCTTTCGAATTACCAGTTGTAACTGTCAATGCCATGTTTATTTATTCCCCGTCGTGGATTGGTGGAAAAGTGTCATTTCGAGCAAAATAACGTTATTCAGTTTATCAACCAAATTTGCCAATTTTGGTAGTATCATTGGATGAATATGCTACGAAAAATGGCCGTTTTCCCAAGAAAAGTTTCTAAAATCGAAATCTTTCATTTTTTTAGATTATTGTGCGTCTGGATAATTTATGCCACAATTTCTTGAGAATCGGGTGTTTTATTATATAAAGAAATGGTCCAACTTGGTCCAACCTTTCTTTCATATGAGACGTTGGGAAAATTTTGCAGATTTGCCAAAATGGTGTACAATAATGTATAGCCGTATAGCCTAATTTTATGCGGCGGGAACTGCATCCTTTGTAAAAACTCAGTCGTCATCTATACTGTAGCATGAATCCTCTGTCAAGATAGATACTCATTCCGACAAGGATTCTGTTGGATACTCCTAAGTAGGAAGGATACAGTGAAAGGCATTGCACCTTAGTTTATGTTACCGTCACCATACCTACGAAAGACTTTCCCTATTGACGCAGTACGTCTTCATTCGACGTGTATATGTGAGCCCTTACGCACTTGCTCACGTGTAAACATAACTACAACGAGCAACGGCCTCCTTATGACGGATTCGAATTCCTATACATATTTAGCAAACCTGATTGGGAGTAACTGCCGAAATGTCTAAATGAATATGTCGAACTATTTGTGAACTATCGCTGCATTTGAATTTGTATGTAGACCATCAGATTCCATTCCGACATGAGTGTCGGAACAGACAGAATTGTATTAACCCTACCCCCAATGGATTTTGATTGGTCAAAATGGTGTAAGAGAAGTTAGGTAGTGACGATTCATTGGCCAAAATTAGTTCATACAAATACTAAGTGAGGTCGGAATATTGAGATAGACATCAGTCTTTTCCTAGTTCCAAAAGTCGGCGCCTTCGGCCGCGTCGGCGTTCCACATGAACGCGTTAGCGCCCCACTTAATGCTTCCTTGAGGTGGACACCCGCCATGCAAAGCGAGAAAGTCCACGTCTTGGTCCGGCGTCTGTGTGTAAAACAGACTCGCGCCAAAGGCGGTGGGCGCCACGTTTAGCCCTGACTTGCACTCGGCCATTCCGTTCGTAGTAGTACTAGTAGTAGTAGATCGAACGCTTTCTACTTTTTCGATTGAATCGGCAAAGGGAAACACGGTCCCGCCGCTGCCACGCTCCACTGCGTTCAGGTACACAAATAGTGTGACGAACCGGTTCGGAGTCATGTGATGCACATAACGTGGCAGGGTGTACGTCGTTGTGAATTCGCCATACATTTGGACTTCTTTTGCCCAAGTATCGGCGAGGGATTGGGCCAGCGCCGGCACTTGCTGCAGAAGAATGTGAATGCAATCGCGCCGACCCTGATATTCCACGAGAAAGTCAAACCTACACGAAGATGCAAGTATATATTAATTATATTCGTACTATTAATATTAATAGTATTCGATATGGATGAAATATATTGTGAATTCTATACTATTAATAGTACTACAATTCTGTCAATTCGTAAAACCATCTCACATTATTGGCTTCCCACAAAGCACAAAGGAAAAGAAAAAATAATGTAAAATAATGTAGCCAATCAACGACAAGAATTTTCAGATTGACCGATAGGAGCTATTTTTAATCGGTTTGGTCGGGGTGATTTGATTGGGATTGGGGTCCGGAAAATCGCATCAATAATAGCAATAATAGTATTAGTAGTACCATTGTTTGGACAGCAAGTCGGTCAATTGGGAAGTGGAATGGTGCTTGAAGAGCAGCGCAATGAGCTCGTATTGAAAGTACTGGTCGTACTTGGGGTACAACTTGCCATTTGGGCGTATAGTAGCTGGCACTTGGTCGCCCAGAACACTGATGCGCTCTTTTGCCCACCGAATCCACCGTAAAAAGTGGGATAAACCTACAAAGTCTCCCAATATGAGTTTTAAATTTGTGAGTACCCGACTGACTTCACTGTACCGTTCACTGAACGGGGCAACCCATGATAGGGTTGAATACGTGGCTCGTTTAAATGGCGTTCCCACACTCGAATGATATGGATCAAATACTCGGGTTTCGCTACGATATATTAAAAGTAAAGCCATAAATTGCTTGAATATTACCGTCGTGTTGGAGCAACTGACGCATGGGGTTGCCCCTGGGACGAGCAACTTTGTCCGCAAGCCAGCGTTCCCATTCCATTTCGTTGCGACTGGCAAAGAAATGCTTCGAAACGCCATCTTTCCAGAACAACTCGACCAACGCCAAGGCAAACTTGACGTTTTTAGCATTCGGATACAAAGCCTGGCCTGGCTTGAACCGTTGGGGGAGGTCGTTGCCGAGCAACGCGACATTCTTGGCAGCAACTGTCGTCCATTTCACAAAGTCGGCGTACTGGTACACTGGCGGCGCCTCAATGTTCTTGGACGCCATCGTGTCCAAGTGCTGGCGGTAGAACTCACCCGGACGGTACCGCACCAGCTGCAAGCGTTCAGCATATGACGCACTCGGCAGCCTCGCGACACCCGTCGCCCGGTGCTGGAATTGCCTAAAATCACGTTTCATAAGCTAAATTCACGTTTTAATCAACTAAAATCACGTTTCAACAGGCTAAAAACGCTCTTTACGTTTTAACCGGCTAAACTCACGTTTTAACCGGCTAAAATCATGTTGCAACTGGATAAAATCACGTTTCAACAGGCTAAAAAAACGTTTTTTTACCTGGAGAATGCCGTGTCTGGGAGAAACGCGGTAGAACTGGTGCGGATGTCCGACACTGTACCGTCCACTGACTCCCCCGTGGGCGACCGGCGCAGGAGCTTGCGGCCGTGCGCGATGATCTCGCCGGCTTCACCTTGATTGATGAAATTCGTCACGGAAAACACCCGCGGACTTAAGCTCTGGGTCGTGAGTGTCATGTTGTCGTGTAAAGTGTACGTAAAGTTGACTGCAATCCCAGGCCAGACCCACAGGTCAAAGTCCAGCAGGACATGGACGATGCGGTTGGCAGCTTCGACGTCGGAAGAAGTCGTGAGCGGGAGGCTGTACTGGGACGACAGGCGCACTCCGTTGTCCAGGCGGAGCGCAGGGATGCCTAATGCAAGGCCCGCGGTTCGAGCCAGAGCGTGCAAGCAGTCACCGTCGCCATCCCAGAGAAAGTGCAGGCTACATGAATGCTGTTGAGAAACGAATGAGGAGGGAGTATGATGATGATGTATGTACCCATGGTTAGCGCCATTGCGCATGACAAAGATGGACTGGTTCGATCGGAGAGTTCCCACAGGCAACTGCATCACGTCTAGGACAGGCACCCACGACGAACTCATGACCGTCGGCATTGTCCCAGTGCACTCGCGAGGCTCCAAGAAGAACTGATCATCCATCGCCACGATATCTGTCTCGTACTTGGAGAGTCTGTCGTAGTTCGGTGCGCTGGTCGCGTTGGCAAGGGTGAGATTCCCGCGAGAGTTACGAGGGGACTGCATTGCGTCACGGAAGAGTTGTTCCTGGACCGCTTGATGGGTTGGCGGATCTATTTCGCCAAGGGCATGCATGGCCACGGCGGCAACGACCATCGCGACAGAAAGTCCAACAAGAGAAAGGGAGGATGGAAGGAAGGACGCGGACAGAGCATCCTTCGCGCTGGTCTTCTCGGCCGTCGGCGGCGTTTCTGGTTCCGACTCTCCCGCCATCGTGTCAACGAAGAATGGAATGTGCTGGATATGTCATTATCTGAGTCAAGTTCAATGCTAAATATCTCACCTGACATTATGCCAAACTAAATACCCCACCTATGAGTATAATATGCTCTAGTATATTCCTAGCTTTTTCTGCGCGAGAGATTCTCCCATCTGGACCCCAGCCAAAAAGAAGAATTCACGAAAGGAGGAAAGTACAACTAAACATGAGCCAATACATTTTCGACATTGGATTAAACAAGTGATGGACCAATCAGTGTCCACCAAACAAACAAGATGACACTACCAATTTGGCAGTTACACCTCAAAATTCGAAGTGCTGTTGGTGCTATCGCTCGACGAGCGCGGCGAGTAGGCGGATTGGTCGGAGGACGCGACGGACGTGAACGACTGCGCGTCGTCGTCATCGTCGGCACACCAGTCGTTGTGATGGCACTTTACGGGACTGCGATTGGGAAAGGTAGTGCAACTACCGACGTTCGGCACTGGGGGTCTCTCGGTGTCTTGGTTCCCGCGTTGAGTGTACTGGTAGCTTACAATGCTGGAACTTTGCTCCCCCGTGTGAAAGTTGTTTGGTACGTCGTTGTGCAGCACCAACTCATCGCTGGGAGTCCGCATGACCATCATCGCTGCCGCATCGTCTTCGCAGGGGGGCATGAGTGAAGTGACGATCGGCGCCTGGATTTTCGGGCTCGGCGATCGCCACGTGAAGAACGTCGAGTCCTTTTCGACCTGCGCGGTGGATGCTCCGAAATCTCCCGGAAAGTTCGCTGCATATCGCGAGTCCTCGACGGTCATGCTCGGATGCGACTGCGCGCCTTTCTCGAAAAAACTGTCGTAGAAATCCTCATCATCTTCGTTGTCCTGTTGACGGCGCCGCACGAACCTCACGGCTCCAAGGAGAAGGCCGATCCCGACAAGGATTCCGGCGACGATCATGACCCATCCGACGGTGTTGGGCCCTCCCGATTCGGACGAGGCAGTGGACACATCAGATGGAGTCGTCGCGCGAAGCTGGTCCGACGTTACCTCTGGGATAACGGCGTCGTCGGTGTTGGGGTCAATGATAGTGACATCGGGGGACGCGATGGTTGCTGGCATCGATGGGGGAGGTGGAGTGGGGGTCATAGTCGACGAGTCGGACGAGGACGAGGGTGTAGTGACAGTAGTCGACGGTGGTGGCGGGGTGGTCGTCGTAGGATCTGGAGGTACCGTGGTGGTTGTTGAAGGCTCATTCGTCGCAGGAGGTGGAGTTGTAGTCTGCGGCGGTGGTGATGATGGAGGTGCAGTTGTTGGAGGAGGCGTGGGTGACGAAGTCGATTGAGCAGGTGTTGTGGTCGGGATGGGCGTTTCCACGGGGGTCTCTGTGGGAGGCGGTGTGGTCGTGGTAGGTGCAGCATTGACGACTGCCGAGGGTGTGGTGGTGTTGGGCTGTGCATGGTACCCTTGCAGCGTAAGCAGTAGTATCGCGAGGACGCTTCTCCGCATCGTGCCGCCGTCCAGTGAAAGTGGAGGAATCAATGATGGTACGAGTGATTTTATAAATGGGAAAATTCCAATAAAAGGAGGATCCAAGGAGACATTTCAGTGCACCCACTGGGGATGCGAGAAAGTGTAGATAACTGATGTGCCGAGTCTTTTTGATTTTCTTTTGTGAATTCCTCCAAGTATTTATCCAAATTATAGCGATTTGGTGGACATACGTAACCTGAAAGAGGCACGTGACACAATAGATTTAGACAGTATACGATGACGTAATAATTCCAAAATTTGCCTTGAAGTCGAGTGATGTTGCGAAGTTTATACTTGAAGTAAGTATGGAGTAGGATTGTGCCAGTCAACCGTACCACGTGGCAATCATCAGCAGCTGGGTCAATCTCACACCAAAACAAAGTCAAGTTCCAACAAGTTCTTCTGTCCATGAATTAAGTGCTCGATGCAAAGAGGTATACGTTATTCAAGATAATAGTATGCGTCCTAAATTGATGTTAAATTTAGATCAAACTTGCTTGGTTTTTCTTACAGCTGTTAATTTAGTCATTGGAAATGCACCGAAACCCAATATAATTGACATGAGGTAGTTCCTCATTAATTCAACTACAATCTCCAAGTTTCAGCGGTCGAAAATATTGTACGAGCGGGGGGCGCCTTCCTCAAATGCGTCTTAAATTGATTGTTTACGTACTGTGCAATATACCGATGAATATGATCAATAATCCGACATCACTTAGAATTTGTATAAAATAATTTTGGCCAATGAATCGTCTCAATTATCTATTTCTACCTATCATATTGTAGTAGTATCTTATTCTTCACCATTTTGACCAATCAAAGTCATTTAGGGTTAGGGCTAGCTCAATTCTGTCGGTTCCGACACATTTCGACGAACCTTGCTGGAATGGAATCTGAAATATCCTGGTCTCACATACAAATTCAAATGCAGTGATAGTTCACCAAATAGTTCGACATATTCAGACATTTCGGCAGTTACTCCTAATCAGGTTTGCTAAATATAGGAATGCGATATCCGTCATAAGGAGGCCGTTGCTCGTTGTAGTTATGTTTACACGTGAGCAAGTGGCATTGCACCTTAGTTTATGTTACTGTACCGTCACCATACCTACGAAAGACTTTCCCTATTGACGCAGTACGTCTTCATTCTACGTGTATATGTGAGCCCTTACGCTTTCACTGTACCCTTCCTACTTAGGAGTATCCAACAGAATCGTTGTCGGAATGAGTATCTTGTCGGAATATTCATGCTATCGATCAACAAAAGTAATTCGATACAAATTGCAAGATATATATTATTCCAAATAATCACCCAGACCCAGAAGTTGATCACCTCGCCACCATCCTCATGTTCGACATCAAGGTGCTCAAGTTGAGAGCATAGTTCGCCCATATCCGGCCAGTTTAACTATCTTCTGCTCTATATCTGTTTCTACTACACCATTTTTCGTTTAAGTTCAGGTTATTTCCGGTATATTTCGGTCGACGCACAACTGATTCACGCCATATGCGTTATGTTCGCCGAACATTCGATATATTTCGTCCAGACCCTACTTCCTTTCATTATATTTCGACTAATGTCCGGTATATGTCACCCCCTAGGCGGTATATTTCACACGTTGTTCAATATATTTCAAATGATGTTCCATCTATTTCGATAAATCGACGCAGTACTCGACGGAACGAAGTAGCCAATGAAATTTTCGAAAAAAAATAAACTTTCGATCAATCTGCATTTCACAAAGAGTTCAACGTTGTATCGGACAGGAGTCACACTGAGTATATTTAGTTCAAATACAATGACGTTCGACGATTTCAGGTGGATTTGATGTCGTTCGTCGAATCTACCGAAAATACCAAATTTAGCTCGAAAGCACAATATCTATGATTTACTACGTAGACAAGTATCCACCACCTGCGATTTACTCCGGAGTACTTGATTTGATTCGAAAATCGAAATATATGGAACATCATTTGAAATATATTGAACAACGTGTGAAATATACCGCCTGGGGGGTGACATATACCGGACATTAGTCGAAATATAATGAGTCGAAGTAGGGTCTGGACGAAATATATCGAATGTTAGGCGAACATAACGCACATGGCGTGAATCAGATGTGCATCGGACGAAATATACCGGAAATATCCTGAACTTATATTGTTAACAGTAAACGAAAAATGGTGTAGTTGGTGTAAATCCACACTCAACCACCTCGTGTTCAGCCAAAACCACTTCTGGCAGCATTCCATGAGCAGCCAGAGCAGCCTTCTTCACGTCATGCAAAGCTTCATACGACATGGTGTTGTTGGAAGATACGCATGTCAGTAGGTGCTGCAGCACCCCGCTCCAATTCTCGTTCGACAGGTTGGATTCCTGTTGTGATGCATTTCAAAGTGAATCTCCGGATATGGGTGAATATATCCTGGCGCCCGGATACCTCGTTTTTGCTTGAAACTGTCCATTTGATATGAATAATTGTATTCAATTCAGTTTCATATGTGACCCGCGTGATTGGTTGAATTTTGGTGCGAAAGCAATTCATTGGGTTTCGCCTGCTCTTACTGAACACCTGGATATATCTTGGTCGAAATATTCGCAATTCTTCACGTTCATTTCTTATACTGGCTGAATCGTGCACTTATTCACGGACAGAGGTAGTAGTTGCGATTTGGTGGACGTAACCTGAAAGAGCTCGTCAAGATCTGTCACATACAACTAAACACAATTGAATTAGACAGTACACGATGACGTAATAATTTCGCAAGTACAGTAGCAAAATTTGCATTGACAGTGATGTTGCGACGTTATATTTGAAGTAAGTATGGATTAGGGTAGTGACACTCAACCGTACCACGTGGCAATTATCAGCAGCTGGGTCAAACTCAAACCAAAATACAGTAAAGGCAAATTCCAGGCCAAGTAATTTCTTTGAAGTGCAACTGACCATTTTTACTAACATGAAATTCTATCAATAGTTCTCATTCCGTCCAGAGGTCACATCAAAAACATTTTAAAAATATACTACACTCACTTTCCATTTCAAAAGGGAAATCTCTGTCAGAATATTTTTTGACATAAAATTGCTGTGGCATTATTGGCATGAGTGGTTCTGTTTTGTCAATAATACAGCTCGAACGATTTAATTGGATGAAATACATCGGCACGTCACGTTATAATAACGTTACACGTTTTCCATTTTAGACATCAAAATACTACTAACATTAGTATTGACTGTGAAGTAATAAAGTGGTGTTGCTTTGCCATAAAACGAAAGATCTGAATAATAACGGGGATACTTAAATCAAGATAAATAAATAATTCCCAAATATACCTGGTATCCCACAAGTGGCTCACAACGCCCCGAGAGCGTTTTGAGCACAACGGAAGCACCAGGTTTGCGCGCAAGCGCAGCGTTCACTCCTATCCTGACAATCCCACTATCATGGAACACCCCATCACGGCCACGCCACGCACCGGCCGCACCCAGGTCATCGCGCATCTCCAATTCTTCCCACGAGACCACCTTGTAATGGACGACGAGCTCAGCCGATGGGAATATCACCGAAGCCACATGGATAGTATCACCGCGTTGCTGTAGTTCCCTCTCTATCCTACCGTCACTGGGGGCCTTACTAATCGATCCTCCATCAACATATTCACATCAAGGCTACCAACACCCCGCAGGGACCAATTGCACTGAGAACACGCTACCCCTGGACCAGTCAATTCGAGCACCGGTGCCCCACTTGGGTAAAAGATCAGGGGCCACCCAAAGTTGCATCCACACCCAAGGTCGCACCCACACCCAAGGTTACACCCACTCCCATATCCGGCCCGTATCACGCTGCCAAGTTTTGCACGTTTCTATGCACCACCCGCAGACCATCACCTCCTACCGTACTTTACGACTCAATGTTGAGTGTGATAAAGTGGTGGCAATAATGATATGACAGGCTATATTCTCGAGCACGTATCAGTCAGAATTGCCTTGATGACTTCAATTCCGCCACGAATACAAAGGACACACATGAGGAGCATTTTGAATACTTCAGTTGATTTCAAATCACTTCTATCCAGCACACAGCACAAATCACCCAAATTCACGTGGAAATAATGATATGACACATGACCAAAAATCCATGTTTAGTGATTAATTTTGCGCCCCTTGCTCGCCAAAACTAATTCACAGCGCTTAGGCATGCCATCGACAAGTTTTTCGAGCAACGAGATGTCAATCTCATCCCAAACTTGGCGAACACAGGCGATCAGCTCAGCCTTGGTCGAAAACTTGTGTCTTCCATTGTCGTAAACCTTTCGGGACATGATGCCCCAAAGGTTTTCGATTGGGTTGAGGTCCGGGGACTTGGCAGGCCACGGAATCACGTCGACAGCCACTTCTGGCTCCTTGAACCACTCAGACACCGATCCAGCCGTGTGGATAGAAGCGTTGTCTTGTTGAAAACGGTACTCGTTGAGATGCTTCC